ATAAATAATTATTATCTTTATAAAAAAATTATATTATTAAACCAAATATAAATTACTTCGTTATTATACATAAATTAAATTATAAAAAATTGAATTAAAAAATTATACAAAAAAATGAGAAATTTCAAATAGTTAATTTGATATTAATATCGATATATTTTTGTCAAATTTTTATGATATCTTCAAACATATATTTTATTCAAAAATAAAAACATCATTGCTTTCTCAAAATCACATAAAACCATATTATAACATCGACTGAGATAAAGAATAAAATGAAATATTAAAATAACGATGTATCTCGCTGCATTGTGCGAGTACGCTTCTAATATTATATAGTATTTGATAAAAACTCTTAAAAATCATTTTTATGCATGAAATACTTTTTATTAATGCATATTACTTAAAATTCAAGATTACAAGCAATTTTACATAAGTACAACTTATTAAAGCTCCATTTTTAAATTCATGTAACTTACTGTAGATAAATATAATCAAATACAGGATAAACATCCATTTTACATATAGAAAATCTAAAATATAATTAAGATAATCGTTGAGTTCTAACAAAATATTTAATTATTATCTTTAAAAAAATTATATTATTAAACAAAAAATAAATTACTTTGTTATCAAATCTAAATTAAATTATAACTAAAAATTTCATACAAAATGAGAAATGTTAAATAGTAAACTCAATATTAATATCGATTATTTTTGTCAAAATTTTATAATATTTTCAAATTTATATTTTATTCAAAAATAAAAACATCATCGTTTTTTCAGAATCACATAAGACCATATTGTAACATCGACTGAGATAAAGAATAAAATAAAATACTAAAATCAAGCTATTTTGTTACATTACATAGGTATCCTTCTAGTATTTTAATATACCATTTTATTTCATATCTTAGTTTTTGTTTGCGTTTGAAGATTAATAGTAAAAAGAATGCATGAATCATATAAAATTTCTTTGTTCAAAAACTATGCCACCAATTAAGTGAGAGCACGTTGTATCGTCCTTAAAATATTTTGTTTTGTATAATGATAATAATATTACATCTAAGGAGCAAATTTGTCAAAGTTGATGGGTTTCTTGGCAACTCCGTTGGCCTATAAACAGCTACCAACTTTATTCACATTTCATCCAACATTATCAACCTTTTCTTAAACATTCACTACTAAATCATGACTTCTGTTAGCATTCAGATTGAGGTTCCATCTGCATTTCCTGCCGACAAGGTTTTTAAGGTGTTAAGTGATTTTGATAATATTGCACCCAAAGTGAATCCTGCAGTTTTCAAGTCTATCAAGACAGTCGAAGGCAATGGAGGTGTCGGAACCATAAAGATCTTCACATTTGGGGATGGTAAGAAATTCATCATCTTTTTTCAGATAATTTTAATTCTTTGATTTGTTTGACTTGTAAACTAAAGAAATTATATTTGATGGTTTTTTGTTACTTTTTTTTCACTATATTTCATTTCTTAACATAAATTATCATATACAGCTGTCCCATTCACAAGTGGAAAATATAAGGTTGACGCTATTGATGCGGGCAACTTTAGCTACAACTACTCATTTTTCGAAGGTGATAGCTTGATGGGAATATTAGACTCCATCAATCATCATATCAAGGTCATACCTACTGATGGAGGAAGCATATTCAAGCAAACCGTTACTTATAACTGCAAAGGTAGTGATAAGCCATCTGAAGATATTCTTAAGGCTGAAAAAGAAATATATGAGAAAACGTACAAAGCTATTGAGGCTTATGGTGCTGCCCATCCTGAAACTTATTGATTTATTTTCATCAACATGTTCTATTATGGTCACAAATATGTATGTTAGTATGCTGTTTTTCTTCCGTTTCTATTATGGTTTGGAATAATGGATAAAGATCCACTTATATAAATGTTTTACCATGTTCTCACTTGATATGATGAAACAACTTTTTTTTTTGTAATTTATCGGCATGATGAATGTGAACAAACTTTACATCAATAGTATGGTAAAAGATCATTCCTATCCGTTATTGTTTTTCTACACAACAAACTTACATTCAATCACTATTGTTAAAGTCTCGTCAATTTAACGTCCATGTACTTCATGGTGACAATTGTACGTCTTCCACATTTCATTAACCTCCATTGTATTGGATCTGTCATTGTGACAAGGTGCAATCACATGGAGGCGATAGTGGGATTGCCTCTGAATGCGAGGGAGTGTTCAATGCTAACTAGTAACCTAATCATTTTAGAGATCAGAAGTTCAAGCCTCATTAAATATGAGGATTGTGTGTAACTTCTATAAATATTATATACTTCAAACAATGTAAGGGAGTGTTCTACATTTTATCGGTTTTACTTTTACATCATTAAGAATCACATTATTCTAGTGATAACCTACCTATCGCGATGGGTCTCCAGGAAAATGGAAGTAGATATGGTTGGGTGAAAGGTTAAATCCCCTTCCCTTTCTCTAACCTTTTACTTTTAGCACTTGTTGAAATAATATTAAGTTATGTGAGTTATTTTTAGTTTATTGCTGTAGAAATGTTAAAAACCAATCAGAATGGAAAAAAATACGATAATAAGTCATTCCCTCCTCTAGGTTGTCAGATCAAGCGGTATTAGCGTGGGACTTCGGAATTTTCGATTTTGTATTTTGAAAACCTTAAAACCCTCTTTGAATCATTTTTGGAGTTTTCATTTTGAAAATCGATTCTTATTCAGTTTTTACTTTGAAAATGAATAAATGATCTTTGTTGGTGTGCTTTTCTTGGAAAATAAATAGTTTGAAGATCAAAATGTTTACCTTGAATTTTTTTGGAATTTTTTAAAATTTTCAAATATTATGCTTAATAAGAATAATCTCTTCATCAACACTAAAGATCAGTTCAGTTTCAGAGAAAGAAATACAAATTCAAAGGAAAAAGTTCTTTCAGGAAAAATATCTGTGACTTTGATAAGATTTTCTTTTATATTTTTGAATGTTTAAAAATCTTTGATGAAAATGTCACATAGTTATTATGTAGAATTTATGCTTCAAAATGTATGGCAATCTCAGGGTTGGTCGAAAAAAGCTTTAATGGGTTGTTTAAGGGTTATGGCTTATTCAATTAGTTATAAGAAGCTTTTTCGGTTGTGACTTATTCGTTTAGCTGAAAAAACACATTAGTAAATACACTTAGCCATTAATACTTCACAACAACCCTTACATTAAAGATTCATAAACCACAACAGCGGTGCCTGATTGGTTTGAGCTTGGACTCCAAATGCCAAAAGTGTCTAGAGGTCCCAAGTTCAAATCCAAAGAGGAATGAAAATCCCCTTATGGCGATAGAGGTTTAAATGTGGTGACTCCGGACTACGTGCAAAGAAAAACAAAGAAACAAAGCAGGTAATTGTTCTGGGACTAATCGACTCGCATAACAGGTTGGATATCTAGATTAATATAAATAAAAAAAAGGACTCAAAGATTACCCTAGTTACATGCAATCTTTGCGGCTCAAATATCTGAAATGCTCTTCTTCCTGCATCACCGATCTTCCCTCCTTACCTTTTACAACGGAGGGTGGCTTTTTGTTAAAATATATCAAATACTTGCAATCTTGACTGACTTAACTGTTGTCCTTATTTTGACAGATTATTAACAGAGAAGGGTAGAAAGTGTTGATATTACAAAGTCAAGTTGTTCAAGATAGATGAGGGACTACGCCTCCCATATTGGAAGTCTTAAAGGGTAGCAGAGCATGAAGTCTCATTTTTCAAGGACCATTCTTGCAATTTTTTGGAAAATATATAAACGGTTTATTTCCTATGATCTGGTTCATATTTTGTAATCAAGCTACGTTTAGCTCTCGTCATTTTTCTCTCTAGATCATTCTATATTATTCTATCTCTCTAAAATAGGTTAAGATATGATTGTATATTGTTTTTATTATAGTTTAGATTTAGATTCTTGAAGTAGATTTTATAAGTTTTTATGTTGTATTCTTGTTTGATTCATGAAATAAAGTTTTTTTTCCAAATATGTTCAGTTTTAACATGGTATCAGAGCTAAATGGCTCGATTATTTTGAAAAATATCTCAGTTTTTCGTTTCTATTGTATGTGAATCGAATACAAATTCAGTTAGGGTTTCTCGGTCCACGAGGTTGCAAGATTTCGATCACCGGTTCCCCTCTGTAATATCCGTTCTGCTTGTTATGTTTTTGTTTCCTGTTCTGAGAGGTAAATGATCATTTGGGGTCGTGTGCCTTGTTAAGATCTCTAAGATCTTGCTAAGGTCCCCATTTCGTGATCCCTGTCCGTTAGTTGGCTCCTCTTCAAATCTGTTTCTTGTTTTTGAAAGGTAGATGACGGTTTTGGGTTGTGTGCCTTACTAAGATCTCTAAGATCTTGCTTTAGTCCCCATTACTTGATCCTTGTTCTTTGTTTGTTGTTATGCTATGTTGACTATTGTATATCTCATATCTGCATCCTAATCTAGATCTGGTTTATATTTCTACTTATTCTTGTTTAGTTTGTACAGGTTGTATCCTGGATCCTATTGCATGTTATTTTAGTAAAGGTTATTTGAATTTTGTTATCTTGTGTTGATTGTTGTACATCTCAGATCTGCGTCCTAATCCATATTTGGTTTATATTTCTGCTTATTCTTGTTTAGTTTCATTATATTGTGTTGACTGTTGTATATCTTAGATCTATGTCCTAATCCAAATCTGGTTATATTTCTGCTTATTCTTGTTTAGTTTGTTCAGGTTGTATCCTGGATCTGTCCTTCAAGTCATCTCTTCTTTTCCTTTTAACAAAAGTTAAAAGGCGTTGTGGTAAGGCCTTGATTGTTCTATACAGGTAACTCCCTTTTCCTTTTAACAAAAGTTAAAAGGCGTGGTGGACTTAGGGATGGCAACGGGGCGGGGATGGGGTGGGGTTTGCAATCCCTGGCCCCGGCCCCGGTTTATATCCACAGTCCCAGTCCCCGGCCCTGGTACCCGGCGGGTACGGGAATTTTCTTTTCATCCCCGGTCAACACCCCGGTCAAATTAAAGTTAATAAGTTTTTTCCAAGCAACATCAACATCATTACATCATATCTAGTCTTGCCTAATAAAAATAATAAAATTGTAAAATTAACAACAATTCAATGAGACGTAAAATTTAAAACAAGTTTTTTCAAGCAACACATAATTCCAGTCCCTCAACAATCAACATCTTCATCGTATCCAATTGTTTGATCAAATCCTTTTGTTTCTCCGTGTTTTTTATCTGAAATAAAATAATGCGAGTCAGAAAAATTATATATACCAATTACAATTTACATAATTATTACAACAAACAATTTATATAATTACTACCTTCAATTTCTTTCCTTAGCCAACTTTGGCTGCACATCGAAGCCCCAATTGTTTGCGATTTTAATCGACTTCGTTGTTTCGTTACCTTGTTTCCACTCATGCTAAAAGCCGATTCTGAAGCTACTGTTGAAATAGGAATGGCCAACACATCCCTCGCAATCCGCTGCATGATAGGAAACTTGGCACCGTTGCACTTCCACCACATTAATATATCAAACCCTTCATCCTGCGGTAACAATTTCTCTGACAAATAATCATCCAACTCAGTCGTTTCAAACATGTCATCCTCAGAGATCATATTCTCAAAATCTAATTGCCATGAGGCCTTGTTTGAAGAAGATTTCCCCTCACTTGAAACAGTTGTTCCACTTTGTCCTTTCCTTTTATTCTGATCATGTTTCTTTTTGTACTTCTCAAATAAATCATTACATAAAGTCCGTATCCTCATAACCTCCTAAATCTTTGGGAAGAAATAATTTATCAACTTTAACTTATATCTAGGATCTAGAACAATAGCCACACTCATCACATCATGTATGACTCCCCAATATTTATCGAACTTAAGCAACAAACTTGATGCCATGTTCCTAATAACGTCATTTTGATCGTCTTCCCAACTCTTAATAGATAATTTTATCTCACATATCAAAGGGAAGAACATGTTGGAAGTGGGATATTTGGTCCTGGAGAATGTCTCTGTCACACGATAAAATAAACCTAACTTATCACATACATTAGTCGCCATTCTCCAGTCCTCTTCACTAGGTAAAGAAACATAATGTTTCTCTTTCTTGCTTAAACGAGTAAAGACATCTTTATATTCTAAAGCAACATTCAACATTGTATAAACAGAATTCCACCTAGTCTTACAATCAAGCACTAATTCTCTTTCACAATCTACACCTAGTTGTCGTGCAACGAGTCTAAAGTCTTGGGCTCTTTTAGGAGAACATGTCAAAAATGAGACACTATCCCTAACATTCTTGATTGCTTTCTCAATCATAGAAAACCCATCTTGCACAATGAGATTAATGATATGTGCACAATATCTCATGTGAAACAACTTACCCTTCAAAATTAAGGAGGAAGGAGAAAAAGTACGTAAGAGCCTGTCAACCAAATCATCATTTGTTGAACAATTGTCAAGTGTCAATGTTGACAACTTGTTGTCAATGTTCCAATCCATAAAGCACTCGATCATAACTTGGGACAATGCATCAGCAGTGTGTGGAGATGACACATGTAAAAAGCTGCATCAAAGATTCAAATAATATATTAAAATGAGAATATTAACATTGAATTATAAAAATAGCACAAAATACTAAAAAAAATAAATAACCTGATAATCTGATTTTGTAACTTCCAATTGGCATCTATGTAGTGTGATGTTAGTGCCATGTAACCTTTGTTTTGGTTACCGGTTGTCCACATATCCGAAGTAAGAGCAATCCTACTTTCGTTTTCTTCCAAACATCACAATACACCACCTCTTTTTGTTTCGTATATCTTCATGATGTCAGACTTGATTGTAGCTCTACAAGGCACCTTAAATAAAGGTTGAAGACCATTTGAATACTTCCGAAAGCCATGATGCTCAACAATAGAAAGTGGATAATCATGAAGAATGATCATTTTAGCTAAATCATCTTTTGAGCTTTCAGCACTAAAGTTATAATTACTCAATAAAGATGTTTTTCCATCCTTAGCAGTCTGCTCTTGAACTAGAATATGTTGCCTTATGTCTTTTGTAACTCTCCTCAGACATATCTTGAAGTGATCTTTCAAATGTGTTGTCCCATCATTAGGTCTACCGGCCATCTGCTTATTACAATACTTACATTTTGCAAATCGGTGAAGACCATCAATATATTTTGCTTCAAAATGGTTCCAGACAACATATTTCAATCTTTTGTTTGCTGGTTCACTTACTTCAGTCTCGGGGATAATATTTGAACCCATAGGCATGCTTACAGATTCGTTTGTGTCATTACAAGTCGTATTATCCTTATCGTTTCCTTCCGTAGCATTACGTCCAATATTTTCTATGTTCTTGTTTTGTGAATTTTCCATCTTAGAAAAAGAATTTGAAATTAGAACATATTGTTGATGAATAATTACCTTTCAACACTAACATTAATTAACTAACAAACAAGTAAGACCATTTTCAAGATAAACTCAAATCTCCAACCAACAAGCATACCCAACTCCAAAAATTCCCTTATAATATTAATCTATTCATTCCATAAAAAAGTGACGAAGTTTGACTATTTAAAGTCAATCCTCTAGTGTTTCCAAATATTTCCAATAACATATGCTATCAATGTCATACAGATGGTCAGATGCTGTCATACTCATACAGTGACGAGTCAAGAGTCATACAGTCACACAATCACAGATGCCATCATAATGGGTTTAATCTAGTAGCATTGAAGAACTCAAAAAATCTTATAACATTTTTCAAGATGAACTCAATATACAGATGATGTATATAGAATTATAGATGGTGTCAATTATACAGTCATACAGATGCTGTCATACAGTGATACAGATGATGTCATAATGGGTTTAATGACTTTAATTTAGTAGCATTTAATAACTCAAAGAACCCATAGTCCCACATCAATTCTGAAATTAGAAAAAGCAATTTAGGAAAGAAAGTTATACAAAGTATAAATTCATTACTCTATAGGGGAAGGGGTGTTATTGTTTGACGAAAAAGAAAAGAGTCAAAGACTGACCTCGAAGGCTGAAGGCTGGAAGAATCGACCAACGACCGATGTGGTGGCTGTGGGCTGTGGCTCACTGCTGCAACTCGATGATGAAAAACAACTAGGGTTGTTGGTTGTGGGTTGATTACTGCTCGATTGAGTCGTGGGTTATGATGAGGACGAGCCGGAAACAACAGTCGACAACAACAGTCTTCGATTACATGCAGTACCTACAACAATAACAGTCTCAACAACAGTCGACGGCGACTAGGGTTATGAGCCAACTTTAGGGTGATTGTGTTTGTATGAATGAGAAGAGAAGAGAAATTAGCCGGTACTGTGAGTCTGCGAGCGTGTATGAAACAAAAGTGAAAAGCCCAAGCCCTATACTGGTTGTCTGGTAGGTACTAGGTACTGCGCTAAATGCTAATTGCGTATATGAAACAAAAGCCCAATGTCCAAGCCCAAGCCATAGGTAGCCTATGAAATAAGTCAATATTATATTACCGGGTACGGGGCGGGTCAGGGGATACAATACCCGGCCCTGGCCCCAACCCTGGTTTGCCTCGACCGGGGATCCCCGGCCCCGGTACCTGTTTTAGCGGGGAATCCCCGTCCTCGTCCGGGTCGGGTGAACCGGGTTCCCCACCGGGTCGGGCCAAATCACCATCCCTAGTGGTGGTATGTTTTTTTGTGTGCTGTATTTTTCCTCTTTGTGGTTCTGTGCGGCTTTTTTTTTCCTTTTCTTTCTTCTCTCTGTTTTCTTGCCTGGTAACTGAATAGTTAGCTTGACTAGCACGATTTACTGTTTTAGGAGTTCTGCTTATATCTATTCAATTCCCCTTTTTTCTTCCTTTTGTTTGTGTTCATGTCATCTCCAATAGCTGAAACTGGAAGTCTAATGGAATCAAAAGTCACAAAATTAGACTTTGGAGATCCATTGTACCTACATCCTAGTGACACTAGTGGAGCTTCTCTTTTATCGTTCAAGTTAAGTGGTACGGACAATTATAGAGTCTCATGTGCCATGACTTTAGCTTTGGAAACTAAGAAAAAACTAGTTTTATTGATGGGTCCTGTCATCGCCCTATAAACGACCGTGTCTTAGAAAGACAATGGGATCGATGTAATTTGGTTGTTCTTACTTGGATCTTCAATTCAATGACTGGGGATCTTTTCCTAGGACAAGTTATTTCTAAAGAATCGTCCCAAGTTTGAGAAGAATTAAAAGAAACATATGACAAAGTAGATGGGTCGATCACATTCAATTTCTACCAGAAAATTAACTCCTTAAGTCAAAATGGCACCTCTGTTTATAAATATTATCATAAGCTAAATTCTCTTTAGAAACAATTTGATGCTCTTGTAAAACTCCCATCCTGTACTTGTAAGGCCTTTCACGATTTTTTGGAACATAGCCAACTAATTAAACTCATATAGTTTCTTATGGGATTGGATGATGTTTACCAACCCATTAGAAGTAACATTTTAACTAGGGACCCTCTTCCTTCTGTTAAAACTGCTTTCTCTCTTGGTTTCAAGGGAGAAATCTTATAGGGGGAACCTGTCTCAAAACCGTACTAAAACTCAACATTCTGCCTTCCTTAGTAAAACTGTTGACAATAGAAGAAGGCCAGGCATAAACTTTACTACTCTTGTGTGTAAACATTGTGGAACTACAAACATACCATTGAGAGGTGTTTTAAACGAATAGGTTTTCCAAAGGATTTTCAAAATCAACCCAGACCTCAAAATCAAGGTTTTAAACCTCAAAATCGAAATTTTAAACCCTCTGCCAGTAATGCTGCTGTCTTTGAACCTATTTCTCCTAAATCTTTTTTCCCATTTTCTGAGGAACAGGTTGCCAAAATTCTAGGTTTAATTGATCAGAACCCCACTTTTGAGGGAGCAATTACCAATATGGCAGATACTTTTAAAACATACCAATCAGGTTGGATTATTAATTTAGGTGCCAACCAACATATGACTTCAAATTGTTCTAATATGGAAAATGTTGTAGATGTCACTGATTTAAATCTTAAAGTTAGTCATCCAAATGGAACAAAAGCAAAAATTAACAAAATTGGAAACCTGAAATTGTCTAATAATGTTACTCTCTTCGATGTGTCAGTTGTTCCTGATTTCATTGTAAATCTTTTATCTGTACATAAGATCGCTAGAGATAATAAAGTATTCATTGGGTTTGATGAATCAAAATGCTATGTTCAGGATTTTCATCAAAAGAGTATTGTGGGGACTGGTAGTCAGGATGTGGGTTGCATTTCTTTGACCAAAATGTTAATAGCGAGTCATCCTTCCCTTCTAATAATCTTGGTATGGTTTGTTTTGTGTCTACTCAATTGTGGCACAGTCGCCTTGGTCACCCAGCTGACCAAGTGCTAAAAGTCCTAAAAGATAGACTTAACATTGGAAGTGACGTATATGGCCCTTGTGAGGTTTACCACAAGGCAAAACAAATACAAAGAAGTTTGATTCTAGCTTACACAAATCCAAAAGTCTTGGTGAACTTGTTCACTTGGATGTTTGGGGACCCTATCATGTTGAGAGTAGGGAAGGCTTCAAATATTTCCTTGCCATCATTGATGACTTTATACGTGCGGTTTGGGTTTTTCTTTTAAAAGGAAAACGTGAAGTTAGTGAATTTATTGAAAACTTTTACAATCTTCTTCATACTCAATTTGGAAAGTTTGTAAAAAAAAAATTAGAAGTGATAATGGATATGAGTTTATTGATAAAAAATTAAGTGAGTTTTTTAAGCTAAGAGGAATTATTCATCAAACCTCCTGCAGTTATACACCTCAAAAGAATGGGGTTGGTGAATGTAAACACCGTCATTTGCTTAATGTTTCTAGGGCTCTTATGTTTTAGGGTGGAGTTCCGCTCAATATTTGAAGGAAGTCTTTGTTGAGTTAGTGCCTTTATTAGATCTTTAGTAGCTAAGAGGATGATCTTGGTGTATCGAGATTGAGTAAAGTAGTTATTCTATTCTTTCTTGTTGAATTGCTTTTGTTAGTTAATGGTGAGTTACTCGTTTCATTTTTATCGATTCTCGTTATTATTTGATGCAATTATCCAAAATCCAAAATGCTTGAAAGAAGTGTCATTTGAGCCAATTAGGTTTTGATTGTAGGTAGTTGTCTTAAGTTTTAATTGATTTACTTGAGTAAGCATATCTAAGTGACACATGTGCATTCAGCTAACATAAACAATTAGTTTAACCACTGACTCCTCGAGAAGAATGATACCCGACTTATTCATTTAATGTATTAAGTAAGGTTTATAAACTTAAACCTTGTTGTGCGTTTAACGACATGTGCATCAAGTTTTGCGGACGTTATCAGGGAGTTGTGCGCTTGGGTTAAATTTGTTTGCTTTTGCATTATCCCTTGAATCAATTGCTACTCGTGTTGTGTTGCAGTTCTCTTGCTTGATCTCTTATGGATCAAGTAAGTCTTTGTTGGTCCCAAATGGGTTCTACAAGACTTTATCGGTATAACAGTTTGTGAACGGGGGGTTGAATACGAATTTTACTTTATAGATTTGTTTATTGACATGAATAAATCAATACATAATTTACAGATTGTTGCAAAATAAGATAAGGTCAAAACCTAATCTAAACTATCCAAGAATCACAAAGTAGATGCATAAGAATATATGGGATAAAAGCATAAAGGATTAGATGAAGAAAAAGCCTTCTAAGGATAGAAGAATGAGAGGGTGGTTAGCTAAGGTGAAGGCTCTTCTTAGCTATGTATACCCATTGCATTAAATGCAAGTCAGATGATACAATCCACATGGCAAAGATCTATTGGAGAGTTCGTTCTTTATCTTCACGTATGCAGGCTTTTGGCCGCATATGAACATTTGACTTTATAATGTTCGTAAGAACATTTGACTTTATAATGTTCGTAAGCACATTTGGAGACAATAAAGTAACTCTCGTACATGTACCTTTATGAGTAATGTCATGGGGTTGTCCTTTTGTGCATATAGGATAAAACAAAAAAATAATCTTTTAGAGCAAGATTCATTTGATCGTAGAAATTGATTTATCTCTGAGGATTCTTCAGTTATTGCCGAGTCTTGGTCAGATTTCACACTTTGATTTAGACATTCTTATCTCTAACTTATCTCTTTCTTCGGTTATTTCTTTGAGATTGATGTAGGTTCCTTTGGTGTGACTTTTGTCTTTGGGAAATACTGGAGTTAAGTGAGAGATACAGACGTGTTTGAGTGATCAATGAATACACTTAGTGAGGATCACTGAAATTGAATAGAATCAAACCTGAGTAAATTTTCACTAAGCATAAAGGCTCATCATTAAATCACTGAGAGAGCTTG